TACATATACATATACATATACATATACATATACATATACATATACATATACATATACATATACATATACATATACATATACAGGGCTCGTCTAGGAGAGCCGGGCTGGGATCTGCTGGACTGGTCAAGCCGAAACCGGAGAAACGGGACGCACGGGCGGCTTGCCTTATCCGAGCCTCCCCGGGAATAAAGTAACAGTCCTTTCGCTTACTGTGTGATTCGTTTGCCTTTCGGTTTTCCGTGGCACGGATCGCGGGCTGGAGGCGGGGGGGGGGGAAGGCAAGCGGACGGTCAGTTTGGGCAGAGATCTAAGGAGAGGCGCAGACGAGGGCGGGAGGGAGGATTCCGCTCGCTTGACCCTCCAGTCCCACCCGGCCGGCTAAGAGGTGTTCAGCACCGGTCTGGAATACACACCTTGGTAGTAGGAGGGCTCCAGGGCCGAGGGCTCAATGGCTCCCCTCCCGCCCATGGAAGCGCTGCTGAGGGGCAACCCGCCAGGCAGGCAGGCCCCGTAGGAGGAATATTGCAGCGCTTGCTCGTAGGCTTTGAAGTCCAGCTTGTGCTGCTGTTCGGAGGAGGACATGAGGTTGTTGATGGAGAAGGGGTGGTTGAAAGAATAGTGGGGGTCGCCCTTCAGGTGCAGCTGCGGCTCGTGGGGTCCCAGCGCGTGGCCCGGGTGACTCAAGGGGGCCAAGGCGGGCCCGCCGGGGACCGAGGCTGCTACTGCAGCCGCCGCTGCGGCCACGGAGGGCTTCAGCTCGGCTCCGTTCCCGTTTTGGTCCAGGGCTTGCGGGCTGCCGGCGCTGTGGCTGGACGGGGCGGCCTCCAGCTGCCCTCCTTTGCCTTGGCCTCGGTGCAAGGGAGAGCTGGCCCCGCCCGGGTCTTTCCTTCCCTCGCCTCCGCCCGAGCCGCCCTTGGCCCCGGCTTGCTTTTCGCACTTGAAGCGCTTCTGGCGCCGGAGGTAGCAGCCGTTCTCGAACATGTTGCCCGAGTCCGGGTGCAGCGTCCAGTAAGAGCCTTTGCCCGGCTTGTCCGGCGAGCGGGCGACCTTGACGAAGCAGTCGTTGAAGGAAAGCGAGTGGCGGATCGAGTTTTGCCAGCGCTGCTGGTTTTGGCGGTAGTAAGGGAAGAGGTCCATGATCCACTGGTAGATCTCGCTCAGCGTCAGCATCTTGCTGGGCGCCTGCTGGATGGCCATGGTGATGAGCGAGATGTACGAGTAGGGCGGCTTGGCGTGCGGGTAGCTGCGCTTGAAGCTCTTGGCGTCGCGGCCGCGGCTCAGGTTGGAGGAGGCGTAGCCCATGGGGCTCATGCAGGGTCCCATGGCTCCGTAGGCGCCCAGTCCGTTCAGCGAAGCCTGCGGGCCGCCCATGGCGTTCATGCCCCCGGGACTCAGGGCCGACCCCATGGCTGACATACTGTTCATGCTGGCTCCGGTTCCACCGGGGCTCAAGCCGGCCCCCAGGCTCGGGTTGGCATAGGACATATTGAAGGAGCCCGACGTCATATTGCCGCTGGTGGTCATGGCGTTCATGCTCATGTAGCTGTTCATGGAATTCATGGAGCCCAGGCCGGAATTCATGTTGCTCACTGGCACCGTCGAATAGGCCTGCGGAGGGAGCACAGGTTAAAAACGGGCTCTTCGGACCCTGCCGCCCTGCCCTGCCATATGGTCCCGCGTTCCCACCATGTGGCCCCCGAATTTCCCCTTGGAGAATGTATTCCCCATGCTGCCGACCTTTCCAGCTCATCCTTGTGTTGCAAGGAGAAAAGGTGAGCGAACCCAGCCTTCTGAAGCGCGAGATTCCGCAGAAAAGCAATGCCCAGCTTTGTCCCCACGCTTTCCAAATGGATACTAGTTTCCGCACTGTCGGTTGCTAAAGAAAACCGGGGAAGTGGCAGAAAACATACATGCGTATTATTCACTGTAAGAAATGGCACGCATCCGAAATACTTAGGCCAATATAATGATAATGATATAAACATTTTGGCTGCATTGGCTGCGTTGATTAGGGAGCTGAGGGTACTATAAACATATATTTATGCAGTACAGATGGGTGGCTTCACAGGCACCCACAAGCCCAGGTTCCCTTTTCAGAAAGGAAAGTAAGTTTTGCCCAGAGCCGGATTTGCAGAGCTGGGATCCCCCTTGCACAAATTGCGACTGAGATTTTAAAGAGGGGTTCGACTAAGCGCCCAGGTAAAAGATCTGGAGAGATGTGGAAAACATCCGCCCAAATTCCCAAGGCGGAAGTAGATTGGAAACGAGAAACCTGCAAGGCCCAAATTTTCACCGCCTTTTGGGCCAAACAGCAAACTTTCCTGGAACCCAGTCCCCAAATCGGAGGGAGCCTCCAAACACGTTTCCCACCTGGGAAACGTGGCTTCATTGAAGACCCACCCAGGTTTTTTTCTTTTCAAAATCTGAGGGCAGTGAAGATTTCACTGGAGTCGCCTCTGAAGAGAACGAGGCAGACCCTTTTCATGCCCAGGCGGCCCACTGGGCCAGCCCCACTCACCGCGCAGACCCCGGACAAGGGAAATGGTAGAGGGCAAGCGGCCTAAACCACACAAGCCAGATTTTCCCAGCTCCCCACCGTCCCCGAGGGCGCCCAAGAGAAGCCGAGGCCTTCTTATCCGCCACGGACCCTCGAAGCCAAGAAAGCGAGGTCGCCGCTTTTTCTCAGCCCCGCATCCCCCTCGCGCTCCTTCGCTTGCTGCCTCTAGGCTTCTCCTTCGGGGTGTTGGGGAAACGATATGGACGGTAACTTCGGGGCAGGGGACCGGGGAATGTCCAAAATCAAACAAATGATCCTGTTATTTGGGGCCAACGTTCTTCTCTTTGCCTTGCAGCCTAGAAGTTTTGATTAAGTGATAAAGGGCAGTCGAAACGCCGACGTTTTTCGAGGTTTTAAATTAAAGACCCTGCCGTAAGGCGCTGTGACAATAATCCTTGGAAAGGCTTAAAGTTTCCTCTTAAAAACAATCCAATTACTAAAACATTGATTTACTTTATCACCCCATATTGAAAACTGTGCGGGAAAGATTACGCCTTATAAACTGGTCGCTTAATTAGCTTTGTAAACATCGCCTATATTTGAGCTATATTCTGCGGACTACACCGTCCCACACTACTATGATTATAGTTTTGTATTAGCGGAAATATGTCAAGGAATGGTGATATTTGAATGATAGGCTATGTCCACAATAGAGCTCGCCTAGACGGAAATGTCAATGCGGGTGGGGGAAGATGCCTGCTTTTTCTCAAATTCTAGGAATCAAATCCAGCCAGAAAATCAGTACTGTCTACCATGAATTGGGGGGAAATGTCTTCCTAAGCACATGCAGTTTTTTTACGCGCGTTTTGAACTGAATACGGAAGTAATAGGAATGTGCCAAATTCCTTTCGGTCTAAAAATACTTCCGTATAAAGCAGGATTTAAGTTGAGGGAGAGCTGGCAAATTCTTGTTTGTCGATCCAAGACTCTATATTCGCCTAGGGTGGTCCTCGTTCTATTTTTCTCTCCCACCCCACTGGTATACGGGTGAGGCGGGAAGACGCATCCAATGATTTCTGAGCCCCCTTTGACCTTCCTAGCATTAAATCAGAAACCCCTCTAAAAAGGGGGCGATGCCAAATGGGGCCGGTGGGCTCCTGGCCGCATTGGCCGCGCAGCAAACCCGGATGCTAATTCCGGCCAAGCCGCGCAAAGCAACCCCGTTCCTTGCAACGCGCTTCGGACTGTTTTAACGTCTCATCTCGTCGCTTTCTTTTTCTCCCCCTATAGGGCTACGTTTCCTGGGTTGCAGCTTTTTAATTTTACGTTCCGCCTTTATTCACCAAAAGGCTCCATTTATCCCCCGGTTAGGGGGTTCACAGGTTCCTCCACCCTCATTGTCCCTTTGCCCGCTTTTGATCCTTTTTTTTCCAGTCCTTTGGGAACATATTGTAAAATAAGGAACGTGGACATGAATGGACAATGAAAAGTTAGGCTCCTGGTTACGGATCGTATTCTCGACAGCGCCACCCGCCGGGCTCCGGGAGAATTGATTTCTGTTTTATTTTTAATCTCTACCCTTCCACCCCCACCCTCCACCCCACAACTCCGTGAAAGAAGCGTGCGGCAAAGTACACACACACACACACACACACACACACACACACAAACACAAAAATGATTATTTTGCCTAGTTAAAGAACAATACTGGCACAGGTGAGGAGTGGGAAGGGGACCAACAAAACGTGAAACTGCTGCCCAAGGGGGATGGCGCCGGGGGGGGGGGGGTCCTGATGATTGTTCCCTCCCGGCACGTACACAGAGGCCCTCAATGGAGGGACTCTGGCGCGGTTGGGAAGACCTGGGATTTAGAACTCCGCCGTGTTTCGACGCGTAATCCGAGGAAGTGATCAATAACGTCTACCTCTCCCACCCACCCCGTCGGCTCGATTGCCACTGATCTCCCCCCCAGCCCGCATTTCCGCCGCCCCCTCCCTTGCCCCGTGAGACGATTGGAAATTGTGTGGATTCCTTCCCGGGCTTTGCAGCCAGCTGTAACGCTGGAGAAAGCAGATTTAGTAAAGCCGTCGGGAACTGGCGGTTAGGCTCGATTCCCGGGAGTGGAAAAGACCCCCTTCTTGGCTGAAGTCCTCCCGGCCAGTTCTCGGATCCCACCCCACCCCTCATCCCCCCCACCCCTGGGTCCGCTCACCTCCTGGGTCTCGGCGTAGTAACTGTTCCACTCGCTTGCGTCGTGCCCTTCCATTTTCACAGTCCCTAACATCCTGGAGTCAACGTGCGCGGTGTAACCATTCAGTCCCCTCTTGGCGAGCGCGAGGGAGGTCAGAAAACGGAGCCCCCCCGAGTCTAGCAGAAGCCGGCCCCCGGGGAGGGCTCAGTCAAGCAGGGACGTTGGGTGGCGGCGAGCCACTCGAGAAAGTGAGAAAGTGCCGGCTGGGATGTGAGCGGAGTTGAGCTGAGGTGGATCTTACGTTGCACCAGCCGCCGCCGCCGCCGCTGCCGCCGCCAAAGCAGCGCCCACCTCCTTCTCCTCCTCCTCCTCTTCCTCCTCCTCCTCCCCTCCCCATTTGTCCGCCGCACAAAGACGTTCGCACCTACCAAGCCGCAGATGCACCTGCAAAGCAGGCAGTTCCACTCGGCTTGCAACTCCCCTGGGGCGTCTCTTTATTTGCAAAGCGGTGTAATTGGTTTATGCGGGACGGCGGTGGGGGGGGGGAGAAAAGGACAGCGAGCGCCGAGGAGATAAAAAAAAGAATTGGGGCGGGAGGGCAAGCCTTTGGGTTTTAACCCCTCCTCTCCGCCCGCTGCCGCTTGTGAGGGCGGGGGCAATTCCAGGGAAAGGCGGCACTCCTGTCTGTGTTCAAAGAGCATAGCGAGAAGGCGGACGCACGACCCTGCGTAGGAGCTGCCCTCTTGGCTCGGACACTTCTTTCCAGAAGGGGAGCAGGGCGGGTGGCTGGCTGCCGTTAAAACCAAGCCAAGAGCCCCGGGTCATATTCTGGACGGCTTCTCCTTTAGAGTTAGGCGCAAATGGCTGCTGTATTAGGCTGCCGTTCTTTAGCAAAAGCGGTTCATCTTGAACTTTGGCGGCGGCGGCTGCTGTTGGGACAGCACAGCAAGCAGCAGCAGAATCAAACTGGGTGCCCAGCATTGCCACCCCCCTCCCGGTCCTTCCAATGGTGAATAAAAGAAACGGGGCTTTCTTCCCGCCCGAGTCGAAGGACAAGAGGCGGCTTTGGGCACTCAACAAAATCAAGCGCCCCTCCTTGCAAAGGGGAAACTCCAGACACTAAAACGCAGCCTTTCATAGACATTATAGCTCTCCTCCCTTTTTCTCCCAGTGGTACCCGCAAAAACATAATAAAATAGACAGTTCCATCTGGCCGGGAAAATCTGCCATGGAGGAAAGTTTCAGCATCCCCCCCCCCCCCACTCTGCAACGATGTCCCCCCTCCTCCTTGTTATGGCAAGCAGCCCCCCCCCCCCCGCTTCCTTTGGGCATTATATTCTCCCTTTCGAGCAAAAGCACCGGCTGGATACACGAGTCACTACTGTGACGTTCAGCCAGTCCAGGCCCAGCGCATTGAGGTCTGAACGGTGGATCCCTTTTGGCCTGAAACCTGCGCTTGGCAAGGGGCCCAGGTGAGTCATTCCGACCATTTGCATGGCTTTCTTCCCCTGAGCTCAACCTCCCGCTCCAGCCCCGCGCCTTGCCTGGAAATCGTCACTTAGGAACCGCCCGGGCGAGTCAATAACAGGTGATTGCCACGGGAGATTTGGCGACTAGAGCCAGCAATGGCTGTGGGGCACAAATCTTCGGCTGTCCTGCCGAGGCTTCAGACTAGGTGGCGATTTTCCCTTGCACATTTACTCCCCCTGTCCAGCGTTGTTCTACTCTCCTCGATCGGTGGCACATCACAAAGTATTGGATTTATGGAGGCCTACCAGCATCAAAGAATTACCAAAATGAGCAGTCTTGCTTGCTCTCCCCAGCGCTGGTGGCAAGCAAATGGCCTGGAAAGTAATTTCATGGGAATTAAAGCAAGCGACCCAGGAGAATTTATTCCCAATGTCCCCATGATTTGAAAGTGGGTCTTGGAAGACCACACGATTTTCTGTGGGTTGAATCCAAGCTGAAGTATGTTTTCCTGAATATTTGGCCTCCCTCTCATTGACTTTAGTAGTATAAAATAATTTAACCGGAATCAAAGCCAGGCAATTTACAATAGAGTACTATCAAGTGGGCATTTCCTCGGAGTAGCTACCTTTATTTATTTTTCTCATTTCTGAACCCATCTACCTCAAGGACAAACCATTTTTCTCAGAATTGAAGGATAAGTGTGCATTAGATGCCGCACAGGAGACGATGGTTTATCAACTCAGCCCACTTCTTGTCCTTTTTACCTTTAAATGCCCCCCTCCCTAATGGCAGCCCTAATTAACCATTAGGCTTCAGTGTAAGCCACTTGGAGAAAATAAGGTTCACTGAACTGAACTCCAGATATGCATCGGTTCCAGTAAGAGTTCCTTGGCTCAAGGGATGCGGGTGAGGTTGCCAGTTAATTTCCAGAGGCCTAAAATTGGCCGGAAGCCAAGCATTTAATTCTGCCAGGGTTGAGCGGATGCTATTCTTCCAACCTGGGTCCTTTTCACTAGAATCCACGTTTTGTGTTTGTGTTTACGTGGATATACCGAAAGAAGTGAGAGTTCTGAGCGTTCCCTAATTTGAGCATCTTTTTCAATACAGACCAAGGAAAAAAGTGGCACGGGAGCAGTATGGAGCAGGATTTCTCCCAGATGGGGCAGACAGGCAGCGCCAACCACGGTGCTAGGAAAGGACATTCTCCTTGCGTGGAAGATGCCTTCTGGGTCAACTCGAATGCAGGCGCTGCAACTGGAATCCGGATCACCCCTTAGGAGAATTTTCCCTGGCGGTGTTAAAGAATTTGAATCCAGAACACTATTTCCGGTTTACTTGGGATGGCAAACCGAGCTGTTGGTTTCTTTTGCATTCCTGAGATTTTCTTGAATTCTCCATCAAGCTAAGCTTTGTCCTTATTGATTGACACCGCTTGACACCAGTCATAAATATCGATGAAACCAAAGCAAAAGGTTTTTTTCCCCAAGTAGTGACACCCATGTTTTTTTTAAAAAAAACGTTTTAACCTGCTAACAAAAAGCTCCTTCTTCTTTTGTTCCCTGCTGCCAAACCCCCTTCTTAAATCTGGCAATAGAATGAAGTTAAATCCTTGATTCGAGCGAAGATCTCAAATCAGCAGGAAAGAACAAGAAAGAAAAGTATGCTATTATAAAAGTAAAAGCGAAACACATTCTTGCGTAGGTACAATGTAGGTACATCGTTTTTGCACCAGATTGCATTGTAAAATGAAAGGCCTTGGAATAAAATGCTTCGGAAACAGGTTTGCCATGGAAGAACTTTTATACTGTATAGCCAATAACTACCATGCATAATACACTGATAGAACTTTGTGATCCTAAATGCATCATCTGGCATAAAATATTATTATACAAACACTGTAAGGCTACAGCAATTAAGATTGGTAAGGCTAATTAAGTCCATTGGAATGTGGACTTGGCAACAAACTTGATAGAAATCTAGAATATAAAAATCTCAGTCCAATATGATCCAGAGCAATCCCATAAATTTAAATTTGAATTTGCAATCCTTTGGATATCAGCCAATAAAGAGGACTTGGTATCTAATCTAAACTTGAATATTCATAAGACCCTTGCAGAGTTCTTAGGGACGGGTCTGCGGGGTGACGATGGGAAGGAAGGAGTGAAGTGTGAACTACAGATACAGAAGAGAAATGATTCTCCCAGATTATGCCTTGGTTTCCCTCACCCCATTAATTCAGCAAAACAGTATCATTCTGCTGTAAATATAATCAGTTATAGTGATGACGGTCGTCGTGAAAAAGCTATTGGGATCATGAGGGTTTTTTGATATGGGCCCAAAGGGTAAGAAATCACAGCAAACTAAAATGCCAGGCGACAAGAAATCGATTGACAATTTGAGCAATGAAAAAGACAACGCTTTTATACTCCTGCCTTTTCCCAAAGATTTTAACCTTGCGCGTTAAGATTGGCATCCCGAGGGCACCGCGGTCCTCGCCATTTGGGAAGGAAGGAATTCTGACATACACACCCCGGGAGATGAACCTCAGCCAGTGGGTAGCCGGTGGAAGAAAAGGAAGGAAAAAGGCCGGCGGGCAGCCGGCTCTGCTTCTGCAAACGCGCAGCGCCTCCTGTTGTTGGCTGCGGCGCCAAGCGCGCACGCAAAGGGCAACAGGGCGAGCAAGACGATGCCTTTTTCGCCTTTCCGACGGCTGGCTCTGAATAACGACGTTCAACGCCCAGCCTGGCCAAGTAGTCTTTGGTAACTGACTTCCTTGGGTCAAGGAAAGGATGCACCCGATGGGGGTGGGTGGTTCATTCCGAGCTTCTGGCCATGGGTGGACCTATTGTTGGGACTCTGAAGCCTCCTGCCACAACTTTTAAAAGGAGCCCGCGAAGGAAGACGAAGAGCCAGAAACGGGCTGCTAGTGCTGGCGGTGGCGGGGGGTAGGGGGCTCAAGAGCCTTCTGGCTCAGCGCTTCCCGAAGAGTGGGCGTGCTACTGTGGGGTAGTGACGGGGGCTCTAAAGAGCCGGTGTTGTCTTCCCACCTCCATTGTCAGCGCTGGGGCGGGGGGAGGCTCCTCCTCTACCTACCGTTTCCTCCAGAGGATAATTTAATAGTTGCAAATGGGGCCGTGGCGGAGGGGGGGGGCTGTGTGCGTCAGAGAGAACTCCAGGAGAATTCGGAGGGTTTGGAGTTTTTGTTTTTAAGAAAACTGGGAGGGAAGGAAAAGAGGGAGAGAGCCCCGAAGACAGAAAATGCGAAGGAAAAGCCTGATTTGGAGCCGAAGCAAATGAATCACGCAAGAGAGAAGGTTGCTTCGCTCAGGTGATGGGCCCAAGCGGGAGGAAGCCGATTTAAGTTCTCCCGAGACCAGAAATGCTCCCCAACCGCGGTCTGCGCTGCCCTTCTTGGGCCAAGCAGCGCCACTCTGCCGGGATCAAGAGCTTAATTTCATCTCTGCTATAAAGTCCTCGGCATGGTACTTGGTTGCTTGACGCGGTCAACGGGGTCGGAAAAAACCCGATCCGAATATGGTCGGAGGCATCTCACCGGCGGTACCCAGCCAAGCACTACTTACCTCAAAACAGCTAAACCGGATTGGATGGCTTTAAGGCTTGGTTAGGCGATCCAGGGCAGCCCAAGACTGTAAGGTTAGAGGGAGAAGTCGAAAAAGTCTCCCTGGAAAAGGCAGGGGAGGGAGGCCAACAAGGGCAGGGCTAGAGCCAAGAAAACAACCTAGATGTGCCCACGTGGCGTTCAACTCAATCCCTGGTCTTCGCTTTCTGAGCGACTGAAGCTCTGCTTCTGGGTCAACTCTTGAACTTGATCCACTCCTTGGGATCTCCTTTCTCTCTC